TTCTGTGATTCTGTGATTCTATGATTCTATTCTGGCTGCTTGCTTTAGATCATTTTGACTCCCATTGAAGTTGCCATAGAGGACATGCAGAAGAAGACACAGGAATTAGCTTTTGCAACCCACCAAGACCCTGCGGACCCCAAGATGCTGCAGATGGTGCTGCAGGGATCAGTAGGTACCACAGTAAATCAGGTGAGGATTGCTGTCTGAGTTGGAGACACTGGGGGTAGCACAGATTGCTCAATGCAGTGGATGCTCAGCATTGGGCCTTATTTCTAAATTTCCTTGGATTTTTTTTCTCCCCTTCAGTCTGCGGGATGTGTTTAAGGTCCAGCTGCTTTCAGTGACTTTGCCATTTGAGTAAGAGTCCTGAAAATGTGATTAGATCTGACAAGTGCCTGAGAAGAGACAGCCCTCCTGCAGTTCCCTGCTCCTTCCTGGCATTTGCTGCTGCTTCTGCCTGCTTCTCCTCCCCCAGGGGGGGGGGGGAAAAAAAAAAAAGAAGAAAAAAGTTTTATTACTTTCCCTTTGGTTGGCCAGGCTCTGATGGGTGGAAACAGGATGGTGTCCTGTTGTGGTTTTCAAACAAAATGGAAAGCAAAACTAGTGAATGAGGAAAAACAGAGGGGAGTATGAGTAAAGGCCTACTAATGCACAAGCTGGAAAAAAATATCAGTGGGGAGTTTCGAGGTCTGGATTGCGTTTGCAGTGCTGGCAAACACTTCCCTGGCTCCATCTGTATTGTTTAAACTTTGTTTTAGCTGTGAGTTGAGCAAACTTTGACAAGAGCCCTTGTAAGAGAAAACAAATGTAGAATCTGTGCATTTTCTCACGCTGTTTTCCAAAAGCTGAGTTTTATTTGAAACAGAAAGAGAAGTTTAAAAAGGATTTAGTGATTTGTTGATTTATGCCAGATTTACCAGCTGCAATTTTCCAAGATGCCTTTTGTGAGGAAATCTTGCATTTTATGAATGTTTCTGTGTGCAAAGAACTTTCTCCAGTGATTGGATGTAACAGCTGCGAGAAACTTCACTTTTTTTTCTCTTCTGCTCCTAAAGGGACCATTAGAAGTTGCACAAGTTTTCTTGTCTGAAATACCCAATGATCCAAAGCTCTTCAGACATCACAACAAACTGCGGCTCTGTTTCAAAGACTTCACAAAAAGGTACGGAGTGTTGTCTTCAGACGGCTGCCAGGCACTGTTACTACTCCCACCTCAGACAGGAACACGTGTAGTAACCCCGGGGGTATCAGGAGAGAGGTTGTGACTCCATCTGTCCAGCTTCCAGATGGAGCTGGATTCCTCAGTTGGTTCCTTGTTTCTCTGGTGCTGCTGGTCCGGGGCTTAAGGGGCTGAAGTCGTTTGACTTTGCTCTTTATCAGGAGTGAATTAAGTGATCGCAGCCAAGTTATGAGCAAGTGTTCCCGTTTCAGCTAGCCACACTGGCACAAATGGACTCACAGCTTGGCAGGGTCGGGAGAAGCTGCTGGAATTGGGCAGGAGATTTAATTTCCTTCTGAAGTCAATTTTCTCCAAACAGAGTGAGAGCACGCTGGCAGAATTCTCTCCAGAGATGTGCTGGCTGCTCCGGTTTCCTCGAATAATGCAAACCACAGTCTCTTCTGCAAGCGCCAGGGAATTAAAAAAAAATAATACTAATTGAAATAAAAATGTTCCAAGCGAATAGATCCAGTGACAACGTAGTCCCATATGTAATAAATGGCATTGATGACACAGTTCTTTTCACAGCCTTAGTTTAAATTCCATCTTTGCAAGTAGAAGAGTTCCTGATCTCAGTCTGCCATTTATTAATCTCTCCTGAGGAGACCACTAGATCTATCCCATATTTAAATCTTCTTGGACTGGAAGTGGCTATGTGGAGATCAACTTTGCATTTCTCTTCAGAGAGGATAAAATAGTAGAGAAGTTGTCACTCTGGAAGTGAAATGGAAATAGGAATTCTGACACCGTCTCCCTTCTCCGTGGACACAGGCACTTTAGCTGAGTCTTTATTACCCAACAGACAAGACAGAGAAGGATGAGTCACCCCAGAGGATCAGAATGAACTCTTTTGTACTATGAGATTAACAAGTCTTAGCAAGCAGGTCCTTTTTTTATGTGCTCAAGTTTCACAGGCTTTTTTCTTCTAGATGTGAAGATGCTCTGCGCAAGAACAAGAGCCTTATCGGTCCAGACCAGAAGGAGTATCAGCGAGAACTTGAGAGGAATTATCACCGGTTAAAGGAAGCTCTCCAGCCTTTGATAAATAGAAAGATCCCGCAGTTGTACAAGGCAGTGCTGCCGGTCACTTGCCACAGGTGGATATTTGATTTTACTCTTTCAGCAGAGATGAGAAGGGTGTAAAACTGGGGGCTGGGGTGTCTGATCTTCCTGGTGAGCCCGTGGCATCTACTTGTTTGGCTCTTTTGGCTGAGTTCATCCCTTTTCCCTTCTGTCCTCACTTCAGAGCGCATCCCTTTCCGAGCAGTTCTGGTTGGTAGGTGGTGTTTGCAATGGTTTCTTTTCTTCCTGATCTATGACAGTTTTTTGTGTGTTGGTTTGTTTTTTTTTTTTCCCATCCTGCGTCACGTCCTTCTTAAATTCAAAACCACCCTCGGCATGGCAGGACTTTGACACTTGTTTGTTCCCAGTGAAACTGGGATGCGGAGCCCCAGGGGCAGGCAGGCAGGAAGAAGGGTTGGTGTCTTCCATGCAGTGCTTAGCGATGTTTCTGTAGCTGAATTCAGTGTGGGTTTGTGTCTGATGAACTCAACAGAAAGGTGCCTTCCCCGCCTTACCCAGGTTCATGACAGCTTAAGCTCTCCTCACATCATGTACCGTGCATGGGCTGGTCTCTGCCAGAGGGGATGGTGGGGGAACCTCACGAGCACTTTTGTCATGACAGTTATTTTTTGATCTTGTGAAATTGTGCCTGTGCAGGGAGTCTACTGCAGATGTTCCAGGTAAATTCTACATAAGAGGTTTATTTGAAAGACTTAAATGATATTTCAGTAGTGCAGATGGTTTGTGCTGCTTCTCTACATACACATGGATTAAACTTTCATGTCAGTAAATCTTGGGCAGTTGAATAATCCCAGATAAAGACCCAAACTCGATTCATCTGAACAGCAATGAGTTAATGTCAGTGGATTTGATTTCTGTAGCAGCCACCTGTAGAAAATACTGGAGATCAGGTACAGAATCATTCATCTCACGAGGCTTCTTACTTCATCGTGGAAAATATGAGCTCATCATTGTATTTTCTCTCCCTCAGAGACTCCTTTGATGAGCCTTCGCAAAATGGATATCTAAACGAGTTAAAAACCAAAATAAAAAAGCACTTAAAGTTAAGGTTTTGAAAAGAAAGAGCCTTGTTATCAGCGCTGGGAATCAAAGAAGTTTTATTGTGAAATAAAACTTGGACTTCATCCTGGACATCCCACACACCTCCTCCTCCATCAAAGTGTTCAGTGGCCAAAAATCATTCAGAATTGTCGACTGTAGACTTATCAATGTTTGAGAAAAAATCATGACAGTGGTATCCAGAGTATTGGTGATAAGCTGTAAACTTACCTGTTTTTTAAGGCATTTTTATGACTCAAAGGTACACTAAACGCATTTACCTTTATTTATAGCGTTACCTAATGTTAAATTTATTTACTTTTAGTTCATATATTTAATTTATATTAGGATCATACGCAAATGCATTTTTGAAGTTTTTAATGTAGTGACGATGGTTATTTTGATGGTACTATTAAATATGTGAATGTTTACACTTTAATTCCCTTGTGCATTGGACTTCAGAGCTCGTCCTCCTTGGGGGGAAAAGGTTCAGAGAGAGGTAAGTCTTACAGTGACACTTCTTAACCAAGCAGCGATTTTTTTAATTACCTCTACTCTTTTTTCCTTTGTAATTCTGAATAACGAATGGCCACGAAGCCAAATAATTCTGTGTGTAGCCATCAGAGCGGAGGCACATTTTGCCACCACTTCACCTCCTCCCTGGGAGTTTTAGCCTCACTTCTGCGCGTACGCAGTCATCTCCTCGGAACAGGCAATTCAGCTCAGCAGCGCCGTGCCACAAGCCTGCTCTTTGTGTCCCTTTTTCAGTTTAAAAACCAACTCCACGGGGCAAGAAGAACATAAAATGACATCACAGTTTGAAGTTAAAAGCTTACATAGAGAGCCTTCTTTGCATTGTTTTTTTGTGTGAAGAAAAACATCTGGTTTACGGCAGTTGTTTTGGTGGCTAACATGGCACTTGAGGGAAACGTCAGGATTGCAGCTGAGTACACAGCTCCTAAATTTAGTTATTTTTCCTCTCTGTTGAACAATGTCCCTTGAAAGAGGTGATGCGTAATTAAAAACAAGCTTATGCTCTCTATATAATAGCTATATCTGCACACGTACACATATATACACCTGTATATATATTTATTTATATCTAACCCCCAAATTTGATAAATGTACTTTTTTACAGAAGGACAAAAAAATAGAGTTTATACATGAGCTTTTAAGATAGCGACTAATTACTTCCAATTTGTGAGTACTTAGCTTTTGAAACCTAAATAGTTTTTACCTTCAATCCTAACATACACACTCCTGTCCCCACCTGGATGGCGCTGGCCAAGGGGTATCTCAGAGAAGGGAGAGCAGAGCTGTCAGTTCTTGTCCTTCTCCCATGCGCTTTTCTTCTAACGGCTTCAGAGCGGTGCTGCTTTTTTTTTTCCTGCAGGCCTAAGGGTGACGATCTTCGCAGAAGGTTTACGCTCTTCGCAGCGTGCCAGTCTCTGACTGCTTCCCTGAACACAGCTAATCCTGAACTAGTCGCGCGTTACAGGTGGTAACACAGAAAGGCTGTGGAGTTTCTTGCATAAAGAGAAACTACTGCTCTTACCTGAGCCTGTTTTTTTGGTTTTTTCCTCTCTGAGCTATTTCAAAGGCAGGTTGCAAAGCCCGGGGGTGTTGGCAAAGCTTTGGGAGCTTGAGGGCTCTCATAATGGAAAATATGAAGGAAGGTGAGCATAGCTTTGCAAGAGACTTTATATAAAGAGGCACGTAAAACATTTATCAAGTGAAAAAGGGGAAATCCCAAAAGCCATGAAAGAACAAAATCTTAATTTACAGCAGCCCTTGTCTACTTATGCCTTTAGCTAGAAAAGCATCTCTTTTAATCCAGCTCTTGTCTAAATGGTATTTCTGGGTGGCCCCCTGTCAGCGCCGGTGACTGGCTGGTGGGTACGTCCAGCTCAGCCACTGCGGCAAATCCAGGGTGGTTTGTTGTTAACGCTCCTCTCCAGCCGCATTGGGGAAGGTTGGGTCTTCCTTTGATTACACTGGAGCTGAGCTTGTGGTGCTGTAATGGTCTTTTGTTTCCTTGGAACATTTCCCATTCCTGCAGTTGAATGAAAAAGATAGATAAAAGTCTTGGGTGAAGTGTGGAAAAATAAACTTTCATTTGCAGGCTGAAATTCAGCAAACGCCATACTGCAGGCAGTTAAAAAAAAAAAAAAAGCATTCTATATTGTGATTTGGCTACCCTTGCAAGGTAAGATTACACTTGTGGTGGTGGTATGGGTTTTTTTTAACGTAGCTATTTCTTAGTGGAGGATATAAAATTATTGATTACAATGACAATGCTTTGAAAAAGGGAAATGTCTTAGTTTATTTGTAATTCCAGATTTTTGTCTTGACCACAGAATTACTAGAGATCTGTTCAGCACGAGTTTGTAAGCAACTCTAGTTACACCGTTTTCTGTTGACAGTACACACTTTCTAGACTTAAATGTATTCTGGAAATACATCATCATCTAGGAAATGCTGCAAAATCAAGGCCTGTACAAAAAGCAGAGGACCACAACATGGAAAATACACTAAAGATATTTTACAAGAGTTACCTCAGCGTTTATACTATAATAGAAGATTGTAAAAAGCTCAGTTTTGCAGAATAAACTAGGTAGAGGTTTCTAAGGCTTCTCCTGTAAAAAAAATTAGTTTGTTTTATCCAGAAAACTAGGGCATACTCACATCTTGCGTATCGTTCCTTGTCTCTCTCTGCAGCACTTCATGTCATTCCATCCATCCTGTGACAGCACAATCCTCATCCTATTTTGTGTCAGACATTTAAATTTTAATTGTCTGCAGTTTAGAGAATTCACTGTAACATTTTAGCATCCAATAGATTATTTAGTATTTTACTCTCTAGCATTTAGTGCCAAAAACATTTCACCTGGGTTTGCAATAATCATTTCCCTTTCCCCTTGCTCTGAATCTTGCCTCTAGTTATCAAGTGCCTTCAGATTAGGGCACATTGTAGAAGAATCAGTTGAAAACCAGAATGTTATTTTCTCAAGTGCTGTAAATCTTCTGTCTCTCTAGAAGACAGTTTCTCCACCTTTTTCCTAAGTGCTCAACCACGCTCACTTTCTGCTTTTCCCTCTCCAAACACAAAAGTCTGATCTCATCGTCTCGGATGCATATCATAAATTTTTTATTTCATATATACATTCTTAACAAAGCATCAAAGCCAAATGCTTTCGTTTCCCACGTTTCAGTGAGCTCCAAGTCAAATTAACTGCTACAGGATCACAACTAAGTTCCAAATCCACCCAAACAGATATGCATATTAGAGGGCTTTACTCTTAAAAGTACAAAATTATTTTAATTACACTACACACTCCCCTTGTTCTGAAGTAGTAATCACACCTATTTACACTTTGCCCATTTAACACCTATGCAACAAGATGCAAATTAGACCATTTCGAACATTTCTATGAAGTTTGGTTCCTTCCAATACACTAAACAAGGTTACAAGACCCTTTTCTTGCGCTTGGAGCTGCGCCGAGCAGTAAAGAGCTGGATAAGGAGAATAAACCATGGCGATTACCCAAAGACTAAATATGGAGTATTACTTCCCAAGTTACAAAAATACACAACTTCTGATGAAAGCTGCTAGTTAATATACATTTACTCCAGGATATGAATACAAATAACTTTTATTTTTTTCCTTTTTAAAAAAAAAAGAGCTAATAATACAATGTCTGAGACCTAGAGTTGTGTTAAAACCACTACCGTGTGCTGTAGGCATCATTTAGGAACTATACAAATCGGTAATTCTAAAAGGTAATATCGCTATTCTCCAGCATAAGTTATTATGTGAGTTAAGTTCTATGTCAAGGTTTGTTAATTCAAGTTGAGCCACTTTTACCATCGAACAAAAAAAGACCAGAAAGATTATGATCCAGTAGCTTCAAAAACAAAACAGCTGCTTCTTCCAGGTAGTTCTGATGCAAATTAGACCGAAAGGTGTATGCAAATCCCTAATATTTACAGTCAAAATACAGTATTCACTCAACAATCTTCTTATAAAACAGCAGGTAAGGGGTTGACGTAGACGATGACGTTGGAGAAAGAGAATTCAGAAAGTCCTTTTCTTCTGTCACCTTCACCTCGGAATCGTCAAAAAGCAACCACTTCCCTTCATACTCCCTCAGGCTCTGCAGCACGTACAGAGCTTTGTTCTCTAGTCCGCTGGAAGCGACACCGTTCTGGTGGCCGCGGGCCGGGCCGTCCTCAACGCTTCCGCTACTGCTGCTACACTCGGGGTTCCTGCTCTCGCTAACGACGTTTACAAACTTCTCCGGGTTAGCCGGCTTGTTATTGTACAGGTCACAGTCAGGCTTGCTCTTCTGCCCCCCAAGAAGTCCGACGGCTTCCATGTTCTTCTTGGTCAGAACTTTACCCGGCTGAGCGTTTCCGTTGACTCTAAAAGAGACTTCGCCGTCGTCGTAGTCTTCGGCAACAGTTCTCGCCTCTTCCTCGTTCAGCGGTTCCGGCTTAATCATTTCGTACATCTGGTCAGTGATGAAGTTTCCCTTATCCAGCTCCAGGCTGTTGAGATCGGTGATTTTGACGGAAGCCGTGTAGTGTCCGCTGCTGATGGTGATGCCGCTGTGCATCACCACGGCAAACAAGCCGTACGTGTCGTTGGTCGGCTTCGTGCTCCACTCTTCCAGTGACAGCTTGAGAGGTGTCAGTAAGGGAGTGTTTATCTTGGACAGGCCGCCGTAGCAATCAAACCTTTAGAAGAAATTGGTAAAGTTAAGACCTCTGGCCACAACAGCTCACCACAAACACCGCATTAAGCTGCCCACCTGGGGCATCTCTCTCCTCTTCCTTCGACTAAAAAGTCACAGGTGATGGGAACACAAGAAGTTCTCGCTTCTTAACTTGCTTATCCTGGGCATCTGCCCCAGCCAGCCCTGCTCAGTAAAGACATTTTCACAAGTATGTGTAACGTTAAATGTTACAGCCTAGTAACTGTGTATTTTACCTATTTAAGAGGTTCCGTGGTTGATTTTTAAATAGTGACGATAAAAGGAGTTAACCTAGTTGTACAGTTATTGTTTGTGCTTCTACACGCAAATACTTGTACTTCTTCCCAGACACCAACCAAACCAAACCAAAAATCCTTCAACATCCAAGGTCGAAGCAAGCAGAGTTGTTTGGTTTTTATTTTTTTCCCAAATCTTTGAGTGTCATTTACTAAATAAAGGAATACAAATTATTTTACTTTGAGGTAACATCACTCAGAAAAACTAAGTAGCTCTTCTCAGACCATCTTAGTGCACTGTAGTACACTGCCAACAGTAGTGCAGTGCTCACCTAAGGATGAGTCACTTACTAACACTTACTTATTACTGAAGATTCTTCTTCAACCCTCTTACGCTACTCAGCTTTAAAAAAATAATTAGCTGACTGACTTTGGAAAAAACATCTGGTATTCCAAAAAGTTTTAGCATTTTGTTCACAGCGCACAAATTCACAGGGAGAAATCTTTTAACTCTTTTCATTACAATACAAGGATCTTTTGAAGAGTTCAAAAAGGAAATGCTGGGACTTGGATGTTACTGTACATCAGGCTTCTTGAATGCTCCTGACCTTACACGATTTACATATTGCATCAGCTCAATTTAATTTTAACTCCATCTAACGATATGTTATGATATCCCAAAAGATTTCAGTGATGATGCAGACTTGCTCAACTGTTAAATATGTGGGAATACAGAGAAATCCCGAAAAACTGAAGTTTCCGAAGAGCTAACTACTATTATTCAACTTGCATTTTATAGTAAGAAAAAATACCTCTCTTCAATCCAAGGAAACTTAAGATATGGCATAATGGTATAACTGGAGTAGCAGGATATTATTTTGTTTTCCTGGGGTTAGTTTTGATTCTGCTGCACTTTTCACTCATGTGCACAGCCATCAACCCTTCTAAACATAAATACTTTTACACACACACAGGTGTCCCTAGTCACGAGTCTAATTAACTGAAATTTCATTCTAGGCCTAAGAACATTTGACTACACCAAGAGAAACACAAAAGGGCATGTCATCAGAAATAATAAAAGCTAGATCTTCTGCAAAAACAGAGATATTCAGAAGTGAGTCAAGGAACAGAGAAACTGCTCGCTGACATTCTCGATCAGAAATCCAGTTCCGCTAAAGCACACTGTGACAACCATAGTAAGAGAAAACACGTAAAAAGCAGGCTCTACCTTTCTTCTGAATGAGATCTGCCATCAGAAAGATTTGGAGAGGAGGGAATAAGAGAAGAAATCTTTTTTTCCTATTAGCTTCTTGTTCTTAAGGACAAAATCTGAAGGCAGAAATATTGCATGCCAAGTACTCTGCCTCCTGACTGATGCACAGCAGTTCCTACGCAACAAACTTCAATTCTCTAACTACAACTTCTGAGGCCATAAATCAGCGTAACTTCACCCACAGTCCTGAACAAACACCTCAAGTTATCGCAGAACCCTGAAGACTGCAACACTTCTAACACGTAAGGATGTGAAGTATGGGGAAGTTTCAAGTGGTGTAAGCGCTGCTGTTGCTAATTAGCTAAAGTGACTGTAACAAGACCTAAAGTAAGTCTTCAAAAAAAAAAAAAAAAAAAGAAAAAATGTCCTGCTCTTACCTAGTACCATTTCACAAAACAAAAAAAAAAATCTATTTTTCTCACCATTACATTTATATAGTTGAAATGCTTAGTTTGATGTTGCCACTTACACAGTTCTTAATAGCGTCCCAGTCTGAGCACACATGGCGTAGCATTTTCTTCCCCACACGCACACTTGCCAAAGAGAATTACGCATCCCCAGGCAAGCAGATTATCATGCTGGCTGCTTTATTTTTTAAAAAAAATAAAATACAAACACTTTGCAAGCCAGCATGTAGAAAAGTTGAAGCAAATCTCTACTAACAGCAAATATTTACGTTACCATTCCCTTCTGCTTCACTCTTTTTCATTTATTTGAAAACGTGCTCATTGGAAAACTCAGTAGAGCACAACCAAGGTGACAACAGGATTTCAGAATTTTTATGAGAGCTGAAGTTGTAAGATTCTTAGTTTAAAAAACCTTAATCTGAGGCAAGCAAAGAGTCTGTTATAACCTGTAGGGCAAACCACTGCTTCCAAATTTTAAAAATGACATGGGGTTTGTCCAAGATAAAATGTCCAAGCAAAAAAATCTGAGAAACCATCTTCTAAGCAGTTTCAGCTCCATCGCTGACTCCAGTTCTGTGTCTGTTTTTTCCACTCTGGCTTCATTAACGTCTGGCCTCTAGCCCTGGGCACAAAACGTGTGACTTGGTTCAGAGGGCACATGAGGAACAGCAAAAGAGACTGGATTCAGTCCGAGCCAGATACAGGTCTGAGTATGTCAGAGCAAGGACCTGAAGGTTGTCGGGGCAGGAGAGGTAAGTGATTTAGGAGATGGCTGGTTAACCTGCAAGCTCTTCCTCACGGAAACAAGGAAACATAGGGGCAAACATTCTAGTTTCCTTACAGCTGGACATCTCGGGTTTGGGGTTTTTTTTGAAAGGCCTATCATCATACCCGGATCCCACCCCACGCCAAAGGCTGCTCAGCGGTAGCACTGCAATTTTTAAAAAGTGTGCAACTTTTTCTCTGCCTGGTTGTGACAGTCAAATGTTCTTTAGAACAACGAAAAGACCGTTTTCTGTGTCCTGATCCTAGACTTGTACAAAGTGCTGTTGGCAGACATTACAGAGGAAGTTCCCTTCCTACTTTGTCAGAAACCTAGATACTCCTGAAAACACGTAAAGCCAGAATTGTGATTTTAACAATCTTGGCAAACTACTTGTACGAGGATCTTCATGTAATCCTTGACGACACTTATCTTCCAGATCTGATTGATGCCGATCACAGTTACCAGCGCTTCTTTATAGAGTGTCCGTAGACACATCATCGGTCAACTTATATTTTGTATCCCTATAGTTCTAGAAGTCCAATGCACTGCAAGTTCTGAAATGTATTGGTGACAAATATGGAGAACTCAATTCCACGGAAGGCTTTGTGCATTAGACCTCCTGCTGGCGAGGTGGCTCTGAAGGTCTAAAGCCAACCAACCAGGAAACCAAACCATGGGGAACCAGGTGGATAAAAGGCCAAAACTACTTTGTGCCTAAATAAAACCCACTGCACGTCACAGACGCTTTAGGGAAAAGCTGAAAATACGGGCCAGGTCTGCAAATGTTACTGGGATTGTACCGTCGCTCTCAAAGCCAGAACAGTGTAAGAATTTTCTGAATGATCCAGGGTAATATTTTATCATTCTGTCCTGCTGAAGCCTTTTGTCATTCTTCGTTATCTGAACTGCAGCGGAGAAAGAGAGTCTACTGGGAAATACTGAGCAGAAAGCATCACGGCGCTGTTTCATTTGTCAAATTGCACTTCACTGGGCTGTACGGACAGAGGGCTCTTTTGGTTGTTTTTTTCTTTTCTCCCTTCCCAAAGGAAATCCCTAATTTCTTAAGTATGATAAAAGGTGAAGAACGCTCTCATAAGAATAATCTCTTCCTAAAAAATAAGGACTCCTACCCTATAGAACATCAAACTGATTGCTCTGCAGTTGTGCTCAGCAATGACACTGGTATCACCGTATTGTAAAGGAGTTCTGTCCTGCGTGTCAGATCTGCAAAATGTTGATCTCCCCATTTTTTTCTCCCTTACTTTTAGTACTCATGTTTAGTCAGAGATCAAAGTACTACTGTAACCATAAAATTCAGTTTTGTTCTCACTACTTGTTCTGCTAACCTACTTAAACCTGCCTCTAAACTCCCACAGACAAATGGCATTAAAAGGAAAGAAAGTTTTAAGAAACATCAGGCTATGAGGTTGTTGCAAGAATATACATCAGACCTTTTTTGTGGTGAAACTATATTCTCCTGGAGAAAGTTCCTGCCCTACTTGCAAAGGCAGCCTTTATGAAATGAGAGGCTGCATCGCACTGATTTAAGTTCATTTCAATCTAGAAATCTGCTTTTGGAAAAGTTACACCACCATTTGTGTCTCTTCTGGTGCAGTGTCCCTTCCACGGGCCCGCTGTTCCGTAATATAGCCAATCTGCATACTCACTCTAAGCCACTAGCAGCAAAGCACTTCAAATGAATTGTTATAACTTCAGGCATTTTATCGAATAAAAGGCTGCGTTCTGCTTCCGTGTAGTGATGGCAGTTTTCGCAGAAGTATTTATCTTCTCCCACAATCCTCTCCACTGACGCAAACTGGGAAATCGCCCATTTGAGAGTCTTCATTTCGGTTTTTGGCTCTGGAGAAACTATAAAAGAGAATCATTATGTTGGCGGATATGCCTTTTTTTTTTTTTTTTTTTTTTTTTTTTTACATTTCCACTGAATCCCGCCAGAGTAACAACAAAACAGAAATACTCCAAGACGTGTTCAAAAACGACTTGTCAAGATCATAAAAAAAACAAGTAAAGTGCATTAAATAGATGCATCCAAACCTTCGAGGCCGTCAAGAAAATCTCACTTCATGGCCATTATCACTTAAAATCTACGGTTTTCCCAAAGCTTGGCTTCAGCTCACGGCCACGCCTGAAAATCAGGTGTGTGTGTGTTCGAGATCAGAATTTCGCTCATTAAGGGAAACCTCCAAAACATCCAGAAAGTCCCCTTTGGCTTTTCACATTTTGTCTTCCCTTCCGGTAGGCTTCACGCCACCAGGGATGAGATCACCAAAGCCGTAAGAAGGCCACCACACGTGCTGTACGCTGAAGCCCTCCAGCAAAACCAGAAGGGCAAAAATAGTAAAAGCTGCTCCCAAAGTTAATTTCTTTAAAATTCAAAATGTGTTGTCACCACACTCACTTTTGAAAATAGCTAAAGACTAAGGAAGATGACTAAAACTTATGAGATAGGAGAGAGGTAACCTTTACAGATATAAGCCAAACGTGATTAAGGTAACAACAGTCTAAAATACTGAAAAAAATTTTGGTTTTTTACAGTAAGTTAACAGAAAAAGCTGTTTGCTCATTTATTTTATTTCTGAGGAAAAAAAAAAAAGTATGTATTTCTTACGAAATAAAGAAAAAAGCAGGAGAATCTGTTATCCAGGAGGAACGGGAAGACCTGAATCGAAGAAAACGCCTATTTATAAGCAAGCAAACAGAGAGGCAAGTGAAGGACTGTAAGTCCGTGTTACTTATTAAGACCTGAAAGAATTTTAGTACTGTCCAGATCTGCCTCCATTATCAGTGCTGTGTTTCCAAAGCCTAAGTTAATCAGGACAAGAGATAACAGCCTCTAATTTTAACGAGCGCAAACGGGAGCAGAGAAGCTCGGTAACTCCGGCGCTGTCCCCGCTGAACGGCCGGCTGAAGCAGCACGCAGCCCAGCCCTCGGCAGTAATTACTTACTTTCAGAACTCTCTTCGGTTTTAGAAAGTTCATCTTCTTGCACCGGAACGCTGATGTCCTGAAAATCTTCTCTTCTTTCAGTAAAGCACTCACACTCCAGACACCTCGTCCTCAGCACTAACTGGCCCTGGAACAGTTTCTCCACTAGTTCAAAAACAGCCAGCTCTGTACCTAGAAAAAAGATGTGGCCTTTTAGGGATTCCAGATAGGAATAAAAAAAAAATTTAAATAAATAAAAAAGAGATGCTTATCACATGCAATTTTCACCATATCATCTATTTGTAACAACAGGAGCCTCTTGGCCCTCAAAGAGGTACAGACCATCAGCCTCCTCATGGAACTTGGGTTTGCTCGGTTTCCGTTTATTCTCCTTCAACACTTTTTAAACTTGTTGGCCAATTTTGGCTGAATCTGCTGAAGAAATGCAGATCTCCAAGGATTCTGCAGTCCTTCAAATTTCTATGAAAATCGGTGGGTGGATCAGAAAGCAAGTGCCAAATTAATACGTGCTACTTCATAGCAAGACCCTTCCCTCAGCGGGTATTTTGTTTCATCAACGCGAACAAATTCTGTAGCTGCCAGCCAGGGAGCATCTATAAACACACGCGGTGTCTTTCCTAGTTCTTGGGAAGGTTGGAAATACGAAAGAACTAAAGACCAGTGAGGGAAGGAGAGGATGTTGTTTGTATAGACTGGGCACACAAAGCCACAGCCCACGGGGTTTGATTCTCTTTGCTCCTGACAGTAACTGTCCTTGAATCCACTTGCAATTTCTACAACTGACAAAAATTAGTGGTAATACAAACCTGGTGATATTCTGCTTTTTTTTTTCCCTCCTTTTGCTGTTGTACAACAATTAAAGAACGTTAGAGAAATACTTCTTAACATCTAAGCCCAACAGGCCAAGTTATTAAAAAAAGAAAAAAGTTACAAGTACGTATTAAAATAAATTCTCTTTCACAAAAATCATCAATTCCTGAAAATGTAATTTTGTACTCAGAGCACTCTGCTGGCCGGGTGGTCGGAAGGCTGACTTCCCACGCACAGTAATTTCTTAATCACATTAATTTTAAGCCCATATACTTGTTCACCAACCTTCCTTTTTTGGTTCTCTTTCAGTTCCTTTTTCATTATGGTTTTCCCCAGGAGACGCTGGTTCAGGATATTCTTCTTTAACATTGTTACCGCCTTCACACTTGACAGATGACTCTTGCAGCTCGCAGTCATCGTATTCTTTCCCTGTGTCTTTGGATCCGAAGTTTGTCGTTAACTTCCCCAGGCTATAAAATTTCGACAGAATACTAGGTTGTCTGCAGGACGACTTTAACCAGTTTAATCTGAGCCGTGACTTCTTCTGGGTCGGCTTTGCGCTCTCATTTTCAGTGGAACACTTGGCAATGGCATCCGTTTGATTTTCCAGCTTTTCGCCCGTCGCTTTCCTCTTTGACCTGGTTTGTCTTTGATTTTCCTCTGCTGCAATCTGCTCTTTTGATACTTTGGATTTTTTCTTTGCGTTGCCACCCTCAGCATCGCTTTTCCTTTTCCCGTTTCCTTTGAGCAGCTTGTCTTCGGCCGTCTCTCCAACGTGGCTACTTGGGACATTCTCCTTCTCCTCAGCAGGGCTGCCAGTTCCATTGCTCTCAGTATTTTGATGAAGTTTTTCCTCCACCTTAACTGTCAGCTCTTCCACGGGCAGTTTGTTCAATTCTTCCTTCCTCAGCAGCTGACACGTTTCTTGGATGTTCCCCAGGATACACTGCAGAACTTCCTGGGCATCGTGCTGCAAGTAGCCTTCATACATGGGGTTGAGCTCTCTATTAAAAGTAAAAGCAAGTGAGCAAGACAAACATTAGTGATTCTTCACTAGCTGCCTAACATTATTTGAGATTTAAACCAGGGAGTTTCGATATAAAAGCAGGGGAGGATCCTCTCCAGTCCTCACCATCACAGAAGCCGTGGGGAGGCAGCTACAGCCTTATACATTTAAACACCCGGTCCTACTCAGGGGAGTGAGAATATTTAGGTACTTAGCTAAGAACTGTTTTAAATCCACAGCTGGGTTTATCATAGAATCATAGAACAATTCAGGTTGGAAAAGACCCTTGGGACCATCGAGTCCAACCATTAACCCTACACTACAAGGTCACCCCTAAACCGTATCACCCAACACCACATCTAAACAACACTTGAACACATCCAAGGACGGCGACTCAACCACCTCCCTAGGCAAGAAAACTTACTTGCAAGTGTTCGGTATCACAGAGGTAACGCTAAACTCGGGGAAAAAAAAAAAACTTACTTCCTATCATGATGCCCCAAATTTAAGACCGTTGACTTCCCACAAGTCTCTAAAGCTGTGCTGTACAATGGGAACAGCCTCAGAACTTCGGGTGAAGATTCTGACACAGCACTTAAGATAATTTGTACCTAAGGGTATTTAGGAGCCTTCGTGGCTGCGTAGCAAGTTCATCCGTGTATTTTTCTGGATTTAAGAGAAAGCTGGCTTGAAGCTGCTCGACCGAAAGAATCAGCGAGTGCAAACTGCAGATCAGTTCGTAACTTGCCAGTGGATCTTCTTTACAATTTCCCTGTAATAACAATATAAAAAGAATAAAAACACTTGAGTTTTGCCTGTAACAAGTTAAGCTTTTTCTCTCCTGCCTTCACTTAGTTTTCTAACAGCCACTGGACAGATTTTTTGTCTGCTATGAGAAAGCAAGTGAGTTTGACACAATACAAAAGCCAGATAATTATTCTGAAAATCCGTATCTTTGCCCAAACTCCAGTTTCCATCCACTCGAAGTACTCTATCATCATCATCTTAATGGCAGAAGCCTGCTCAAATTTATTCTGTTAAGACTTAGAAGTCTGCAGACGCTTTGAACGCTCAAGTTTGAATACAGGTTCAAAACAACGCAAAGTGTATCTTCACTGAAATAACACTGCAAAAAACAATATGACAAAACTTTTTACAGTCAGAAGAAATCACAGTTAAATTTTCATTATCACGCTCCTGGAGCACGGCACCACCCACACAATGACGAGTAAAGGCACGTGTCGCGAGATACGTTACCTTTTCTGCTTTCTGCTCTCCCTCATCCTTCAAAGACTCTTTCTTCTTCGAAATGATATTATATAAATGCTTTACTCCAGTTTTAAAACCAGGACAAAAATACAACACCTGAAAGCGAAAAGAAGAGATTAATTGATGAGGGACGAAGTTGCTCCACAGGTGTATCCACGTTTACAATCAAACTTGCTTCTCCTCTCCCGAGGCTGCTGCACAGCACACAAAGATGTAGGATTATTCACAGCAGGGAACATGGAAATTGAAAAAAATCACCCAATTGAGGCAACCTTCAGTGCATGCATTTTCTGTAGGATCATCTTTTCCCGCCCCCCTACTGTAACTGGATTCCCGTCATGCTACATCCCAACATCCCCGTCGTACCAAACCGCCAATCTCAGCCCTTGTGCTTAACCAAGAGAAAACCATCTTTTTGAGGCCCCTGAACACGATCTTACCTGAAGGACGCTGTTAAGGTAACAAGTGTTGCCCAGATTGTTCAAGCCCACGAAAGGCAACATGTTGTCTCTTTTCTCACAGCTAACGAGCGAGGGAGGCTGTGCTGCAGGAACAACCTGATCACTATTAAACAGAGAAAACAACACGTTAAGAGGCCATTTTTGAAAATGACTTCTTCTGGTACACGCGCACACAGCTCTGCCCTGGCCATCCACCGCCTCAGAGCTAGTTGACAGAATTAACAACCAAGGTACAATGGGTCAAAATCAGGTCAAGGTGTTTCTGAGAGTGCCCGTACAGCTACTCCCGGCCCTCAGACTGCTCAATGCTAATAACTCCTTTCAGCGACCCCTACAAAAAGCAGCAGGCAAATTTGCTGTTAGTTCCAACAGATAATTTGCAGAAAACGTCAGAAGGATGATTTTAAAATGTTCTCTTTGAACTTCACTTCACTTCTGGATTGAAACCAAAAGGATAAAAACGGAGAGGAGAGGAAGAAAAAAAAAAAAAAAGACCGATGAACCTGGCACGTTATACACAGTGATAACGCACCGTACAGACACAAGAGAAACAAATTTTAAAGTCTCCAACACCTTTGTAATTGACCATGATTAAGCAAATTTTCCTAACGAAACGAGTTGACAGATTTGCTCGGGGCTTGAAGCACCCTAATGAATAGCAGCAAGCAGCGCAATCGATTCTTTCACTTGCAGCAGAAATAACCTTTAAAACCCAACACTTGTTAAAACTCATTTTTCAAAGCCCTGCCGCATTTTAATCTAATTCAGCATCAGAGCAACTACCTTCTATTAACTTCAAACAAACCAACTCCTCCAAGTTATTACAAAGTTTACGCCAGCCAGCTAAACACCCACAGTACTGCAAACCCGTCTCCTCAGAAGTAATTGGAGAAATTCATTACAGTGAATGGCTCGGTCAGTTCCACTAACTTGGCTTAAGGGTTTACTCAGTGGATATTCAAGCGGGTAATTGTGCAAGAACACACAACTTCACAACGCGCGTTGTTTACCCGCCGCATCCCAACACAACTCGTGTTCGGCTTCGCTTCCACAACACAGCCGCGAAACCCTCACGTACATCTCGGAGCCTCTGGATTCCGACCCCTTTTGCTCATTTTCCTGGGACTCGTTGAAATCCAGCGCTCGCTTCGCTTCTTTTTTTTGGAAGAGCTTCAGCGAAAGCCTGTTCTTCTTCGAGGGGCTCCCTCTCGCAGGCCCGGTGCAGTCACTCGGCA